GTAAATTCTACAGGCTGAAAATTTTTTTTTTTTTTTTTTTACCTCTTAATGTTCCCTGTGCCTTATATTATAAAATTCCTGTCACGGTGTGAGCAACCTGATGAGTCTCTAATAAAAAATACTGATTTGAAACACTGACAATGAACGAGCTTGCAATGTTCCTCTGTTCCATCCCATCTCGATGAGGGGGATCACACACACATCACTAACCCTGTGCAGGCCTTCAGGGGTTCACACAGGCACCCCAGCCCCAGGGGAGAGCCTGGGCCAAGGGAAGCCGAGGTGCTCCTGCCTGTCACCTCACTGTGCACGGGCTCGTTGGGGGACATCAGATGGGTAAGGCATGGGCAGATGGAGCTGGAGCATCAGAGGCAGACAGGGTCACTGCAGCAGCCAGCACAGACACTCATGTGGTTCTAAGGGCCTGGCTCCCATGAGCAATAAAATCCCTGGGAAAAGTGAAAAGGCTCAACGGTAGGAAAATAAACACCACCATTTGCACAGGCTAAAAATACCCAGCGTTGTCAGAGCTCTGTTCAGGCTGAGTCCCCCTGTTAACAGCCCCTGCTGGCTGTGCTGCGCTCCAGATGGAGCTGCAGGGTCAGGTCCTGCCTGCAGAGTCCTGGGAAGGTCCCACTGGGGACGGTCACTTTGCAGGTGTTTTGCTAAGCTGCCTGAACCCACTGGGAAAGCTGGTGCCTTGAGGGGCCTGGTAAAGGTTTTTCCACCTCTGCCTTGAGCCCCAGGACTTGTGCCACGCAGCCACGCTGTCTCCCAAGCCGATAGCCAGAGGTGTGTTTCTCCATGGAGACACAGCTAACACCTCCCCACCTCAGGGGCTGCCTCCCCAATTTGGCAGGCCTGGCACAGCGAGGGGCACCAAGGGGCTGCCCACGGCCCCCTACCTGTGAGATTCAGCTGCCAAACCACCACCCAGCCAGGAGACCTGGCGAGAGAGGATATGGGTAAGGGGGGGGGGGACAGGAATATTGGCTGCCCTGTGCAAACCTGCTTTCCAGTCGCTCCCTCTCAGCCAGAAACTCCTCCTCAGCTCCTCTGCCAAGACACAGCCGCATTCCTTCCAGCTCCAGCCCTTCCCACCAGCACAGCCGGACAGACGTGGGCAGCCTTGCTCCCGTGCAAGGGAATGCTTTCCAGCCCTCCTCTCCTCTCCTCTGCCTGCCCCCCTCCTGCAGGAATCGGCTCTAAATCACAGCAAGCTCACCAAAAGCAGCAGGTTCCACCAGGAAAGCAGGTTATCACAGCTCAGGAAGGTGAAGGAATCCATCTCTAAGGCCATGTCCCACCCCAGGGCACAATACTCATGTCCCAGCGGTCTGGCAGAGCCCAAAGAACCCAAGTCGGTGCTATTACAAGTGCAGCTGTCTGAGCTTTAGCTGAGCAGCAAAGCAAGCTCAGGAGGCTGCAGCTGGGCCTGCCTTAACCCTTCAAAGGTCACAGCCTGAAGTATCGAGTTGCTGGAATTTCACTGCCTTGGGGCAAATGCCATAGATGGGGTTACCTCAGGACTTGAGGAAGAAGCTGGCTTTTTTAAGCTTTGAGACCTAGACGGCCAGCAAGAGAGAAACAGAACAGCCCTTCCCCTGTTAGAGCCAAAATCAAGCCTCCCAGTGCCTGCACAGCAGCAAAGAAACTCGCCTGTACTTTCCAAGTGGAAATTCTCCCTGTGGTTAGTGCTGACTGAGGACACAGTTTGCAAAAAAAAAAAAATAGAAAAATAACGGAGAGATCAATTTGGATCCAAAATCAGCCTGAGGCAAACACAACCTGACCCAAGTGCTACAGTACATCTACAGGCAGAGGTGGTCGATGTGACTGTAGCTCCTCAGGGCAACTTCCTGACCATTGTCCTGTATCCAACAGAGAAGAAGAGGAAGACAAAGGTTCATATAGAGGATAGTGCTTTCCTGGCTGTTCTCTTGATCCTCACTTTTAGAAAGGAAACAAACCATAGTATACATGCAGTGTTAAGGTTTGTGGCTTAAATATTCAACATATGGGTGATGAAAAAAGGTGCCAAGCCAAGATTGCTGTGACTACTCCAGTCACACACCTGGAGACAGCCCAAGCTCCAAGGCTCACTGTCTGCAAGGTGTAGCTGCACATGGAGATGCTTCTGCTCTAGGTAATGGTGCCACTGGAAACCCACAGGGTGAAACCCATCCTGCTACAGGTGTGAAGGCTCATTGCACCCAGGCTCATGCCTCATTAGCTGAGGACAGCTCTGCAAAGGAAGATTGAGCCATAGAACTGGGTGCTTTGGCCCATGTTCAGCTGGCTCATGGTGGTGGGGTTGATGGAGTTACTGTTCCCAGCAGTTAGGTCTCTCTCACAGCACCTCAAGCACACCCCGACTTGCTGCTGATGGGGGATCTCATCATGATCCACTGGTCTGGCACAGGGTAGGTCCCAAGGTGTTTTGGTGGGAACAGTGCCAGGACAACCTCCACCTCTCTTGCCTCACTCTGGCTTGCTGAACAGTTCTTGAACTGCTCGTTTCCACTCTGGAGCCTTCTTTTGGCTTAAATTAGCCAATATATTTCAAAGATGCACAAACTCAGTAAAAACAAGCCCTACCTCCAGTGAAGAAACAATACTAGGGGAGAACATTTTAGGAGATGCATCTTCCTGTGGCCAGCCTGGAGGGAGAGCAAGAGGGAGGCAGATAGCTCTCTGCTCCTGCCCAAGGTGTGAGAGGTGTTGCCTATTCCATCCCTAGGCCAGTCTCCATCACAGAATACCAGGTTGGAAGAGACCCCAAAGTTCACCTGGTCCAACCTTTCTCGTCAAAAGCCCAGTCTAGGTAAGAGGCCCCAGCACCCTGTCCAGCCACACCTTAAAAGTGTCCAGTGTTGGGGACTCCACTTCCTTGGGGAGATTTTTCCAGTGACCAATTATCCTTGTTGCTTTTCTGTTGTGTCTTATTGGAGTGCCCCCAGGAATAACTTGTACCCATTAGCCTTTGTCTTTTCTACATGACTCTTTGGAAAAAGGGAATCTCCATCTTCTCAGTAGCCACACTTTAAGTACTGGAACATGGTAATAAGGTCTCCCCATAGCCTTCTTTTCCCAAGGCTGAACAAACCTAGTTCTTGCAGCCTTACCTCACATGGCAGCTTCCAGCTTCTTGAATCATCTCTGTGGCCCTTCTCTGGATCCTCTCCAGCCTGTCCACATCTTTTTTTGTACAGCAAGGTCCGAACCACTATTCCAGCTGTGGCCAGACCAGTGCCAAGTGGGGTACCGAGTATCTCTGAGGGTGATGCCCTTGTCGGTGCAACCAGCATCCCGTTCCCTGCTTGGCCGCAGCCGCTCACTGGGAGTGGGCATAGAATCGTAGAACGGTTTCGGGTTGGAAGGGGCCTTAAAGGTCCCCACGGTCCGGCTGATCCCCAGCCCGGCGGCGGCAGCAGGAGCGCGGCACGGCCGGCGGGGGGAGCGGCAGGGCAAGGCACGGAGCCGG